GATGGCAGTTTCTTTGTGGCGATGTTGTTATCGCGGACAAACTGCGCATCAATCGAAGATCCAGTGCATCCTGTGTCCAATAACACTTTGACTGATGAGCGCTGCTGCGTGTCTAGAGTGGTGATGATCATTGGAACGTCCATTTGAGTCCCCTTCCTTCCTCGGATAAAACGAGGTTGCTTTCGTAGTTCATTCAAGAAGTCTATAGCTTCTTCTTCTTTCATCTGCCTGATTTGGTTCATACAGGCTTCTGAGGCGTCAACACTCTTCTTTGAGTGTACCCATTCAGTCAACAGTCTAAGTGCTGCAGTCTCTTTGCTGACTATCCATTGGCGAATCCAAGCCGCCGTCCAGGGTGTGTGGCGCTGCCACTGCGTAGGTTCAGTCTGATGTTCTGGTGTAGGTAATAATTTTTTATTCGGGGGAATTAAGCAAGAGGGTTGTGCCTCTCCGCGCCGCTCTGCGGACGCCCCTTTTTCTGGTATATACATAGGTACACCAAACCAGGAACACAGATAATTTGTGAAATTACGTTCGGTCAACTCGGCTACGCACCCGGCTGACCGCTTGCAAAACCCTTCATGGCCGCACGAATTTCTTCGTGGATTGCCTTTTTCCAGTCGAACGGTTCTGCCGTCGCGGCAGGAGCTTCGTTGAGTGGTACGAGCGGTGTGAATGCATTGGTAGTGGGGATTGCCGGCGTTTCTGCGGCCCGTACTTGCTGGGTTTGTTGCCGGTTAGGGCAATTGCGCGAGAGATGTCCTTTTTCTCCACATCGGAAACAAAGGCCTAAGCGTCGTGCCTGATCCAGCTCCATTGGCTGGCCTCTGCCGCCGAATGTGACGCCTGTCCCATTGCGACGTGTCTGGACCGGGGCGTTTGCAGTAGGCGCGGCTACGCTAGCCTGTGCTCGTGGCGCACCTTGTGTCTGCTGCTGCCGAGGTTGGAATTGTCCTTGCTGCTGGGACTGTGGGTTTTGCCGACGATATTGCTGCTGATTTAGGTCGATGCGCGCGACCCGTTGTTTGTAGAGCGCGTATGTGGCAGGGAGTTCTTCCGATGAATTATACAGAAGCTGAATGATATCGGCCCTAAGTGCCTTTTCTAGAAGCGATTTTAACTCCTGGAAATGTGCCTCAAAGTCATGAATGTTCGCCTGGAAGGCGCATAATTCAAACTTTGAGAAGAACTCCTGTGCTGACAGCGCTCCCATCTGCATTGCCTGTAAACGGTCATAGGCTTCGGCTTGCTCGTCGATTAGGAAGTGCCTGTCCAGGTCTTCTCATAGTGTCTTGGTAGTCTGTATTACAGAGTTTTCGTCCGCGTCGTATTTCTTCATGAACGTAGCAACATATTTGCCCGCGTATCCACCTTTCATGTACGACAGAATCATAAGGACTCTGTCGAACTGTTCTGGTAGCCGCTTCCTCTGCGTAACTACATAGAGTTTCATTTGGGTCTTCCAAGCAATGTACTTGGATTTCGTGCCGTCGAAGGCATCTGGCTTCATTGCGCTTCCATTGAGGAGCGCGGCACTATCTTGGTTCTCGGCCATCGCGCCGGGATCAGATGGGGATGAAGGTGGGGTGGGAGAGCGTCGGGAAGGTGATTCCGAGGCTTCTGAATCTTCTACCGCTTCTTCTACGGGGTTTGGCGGGTCCTCTGGTGGATCTTCGGATTCTCCGAGGGCAATTGAGCGGAGATGGTCAGTGACCGATTCGAGAGTATCTCGTCTGGTTCTGGGTTCTGAACCGGATGCTACGGGTTGCGGGACTGCGAGGGATTCTGACAGTGCTCCTGTGGGAATTCTTTGTAGCAGTTCTCCACGTAATCCTTCTCTACACCGGGGACAACGAGTATTATTATCTGAAGAGTGCGGACACGGTTGTTGCACGCAGTATCGTACGTTATCGCCGTGTAGGTAGATGGATGTTCCCTCTAGTTCTCGGTGTACGTGTCCTCTGCAATCACAGGAAGGTGTGGTCATAGGTTGTCGGGTCCGTGAAGCTTATCTTGCAGCAACTCTGGGACCAATTGTGTTGGAACGACTGGATCAGAGGTAGAATTTGCCAAGATAGGGAATTGGTCGGTGTATATATGGAACTTCGAATTTTACAGTTCTACGATATAGTTCAAAGCCCCAAGAGAGCAATTATGTCTCTCTCGGTCCGACGCCCGGGGTAGGGATCGCTGATACAAAGCTTTGTCTCTTTTCTGACGCCCAGCCTCAGCCGGTTGCCACGTCGTACTCAGGATAACCATGTGCACTGCGCAACACGTTTAGCGCCAGCTATGGTAGGCCGGGGCACGAATCCAATACAAACACGACCTGGTCGAGCTCCAACGGAGCAAGGGATTACCAGGGATCGGATAGGGAAGTGGTTATGTGCAAGTGCACGAAAAAGGGTTCCCGGGGTCTTGATGCGGTAGAGTCGATAGGGTTAGAAGCTAGGGTGAGAGTCAGATGCGCGTATAGAGTGGATTGTCGTGTGAAGATGTGTGATGGTTGGAGTGGGAGTGGCGAGGATCGTCGTAGGGCAGTTGGTGGAGACTCGAGCTAATGTCAGCAACTAACAATCCAACTGGACTGAGCTACGACAATGCTGAGGAGACAGACGAGAGGAATGTGAGTGAGGAAAGACCAGCTCGAGTCTGGCTTGTTATTGAGCAGTACAAGCTCCTTATATACATGTCAGACTGAATATCTAGAATATCCTACGAATATACGGAGGTGTATAGAAAGTAAGAGAAT